TGTGCCCTGTGGGCAGCTGCTGTGTCTCCTGCGGGGACAGCGTCCGCCGGGGGGCCGCTCCCCTCCTGCCACCGCACGACGTCCGCTTCTGGTCTCTCTTTCTTGGCCGCGCAGCCTTGGCCGCCGTCGGGGGCGTTCCTCTTGACTTTGAGAGACCTCGGAACAAACATCCTTCGATCTTCTGTGGAGGAAATTACACAGTGAGGTTTACTGTCAACGCCATGACGTGCCCAGGACAGCGTAGCAGGCGGTCAGCCTGGTGTCCCCAGGTTTTGCCCCAAAGGATTAAAGAAAGTATCAAGACACTAGCCACACGGAGCTTTTCTTCCATCCGCCAGCTCTCTCTGATGAAAAGACAGCGTCCTTTCCCCCACACGCATGCACATGCATGTACACATGTGCATACAAACACACACACCAAACACAGACACGCACATGTGCGCGTTCATACATGCACAGACACACGTGCACACATACCAACACAGGGGTACAGACGCACACATTCATACATGCACAGAGGCACATGAAAACACATACCAACACAGACACACATACCGACATGCATGCACCCATTTATACATACACAGACATACAGACATGCACACATGCCAACACAGAGACACATGCATGTACTTATTCATGCACGCATGCACACACTAATACATGCACAGAGACACATGGACACACATCAACACACACCAACAGAGACAGACATGCAGACACAGGGAGACACACGCAGCCCCTGCTTCCTGTCCACCTGCGCTCGGAAACAGCAGACATTACACACCTTCAGGAGTACATTCTATTGCATTTTCACAAATGGGGGGCGGGATCGGGGGTGGACACCTCACAAGGGGAATCTTCACAGTCAAAACCGCCAAGCACAGCGGGAAATGCTATTTTGACCCAGAAAGTAACCAGCCGCGGAGCCGGAGCCGGGGGCCCGGGCACAGACCTGCGGGGTCCCGGGCAGGTGCGTGTCCCCCATAAACACGCGCACATCCGAGGCTGGGTCTCTCTACAGGAGGCTCCCGGCAGCCCTGTGTCAGGGCCCAGGGCCCCGCTGTCCCCAGGAGCGTCTGTGCCAATGACCATCAAATAGGCTCTTAGACATTTTTCTCAAACGTAACTCTTGGGGCGAACGGCTCGATTCCAACAAAAAATGCAGCTGGGGGTCTGCAGTGACAATCTTCAGGCCCCATGGAGCGCGGCTTTCCAGGGGCGCTAAACACTGGGAATGCAGAGCCCAAGGGCGGTCCCCCTCGCCGC